TTATGGGCCCAGGAGCCAATACTCAATAGGGACATTACTCTGACCACAGGAACATGTAGCCTGTATCATCTCACCACCTCCCATATCCCTCCCCTGACAGCCACCCAGATTTAAAGCTAAATCATGGAAAAGCAATGCTTAGTGAGCTTTCCAAAGATCTCGCTACCTGTTTATGAGCAGGTACCTTGCTTTCTCCTCCTTCCCCTCTTGCACTTTCCTCCCTGCCTCCACCTCCCACTTTCTCTCTCCCCTTCTCTCTCTTTCCCAGGGCCTTCCTGCTCTCTTGGGCTCCTCTCCTCATTTCAACCTTGGAGTAACCCAGCTGCCTCCTATTCTGTGTCCTCCACCCTGCTGTGATTCTTAATGAAATAAATTTCAGGAAGTCTACTTATTGGATCCATGACAAGTGCATAATTTATAGGAGCAGCTGGGCCCTTCACAGCACAGGACAATCCTTTCATTCTTCCTCCGTATGCGCCTCGTCCACTTCCCTTCCACCTTGGCCTTCTCCTACTTCACGGGGGGGACACTGGCTGTGAGTTCCTTAGGCCTGGCTGTGAGTTTCTTCCATTTGTTTCTCCTATTTTCTTTGGGGGGTAACACTGGCTGTGAGTTCCTTAGGCCCTTTCTTCCATTTGTTTCTCCTATTTTCTTTGGGGGGTAATAAAAGAGTCTCACTTTCTTAAGGTATATCTCAGAAGCTACCACATCTTATTTATTATACTTGGAAGGGCCTCTCAAAGGATGCTCTTCACTCCTAAGTCAAGGTCTCAGTGCCTCTCATCTGCAAAGTCATACTAGGTGTCCTGCCCATTGGCACTCTCTCCTTTCACACTGCTACCCAAATCAGGGTTAGCATTCATAATAGTATGTTTACTTAATCGCATATTTCTTAGTCTCAACTTTAAAGTTGAGAGACTTTATATTTTAAGTTTATCCGAAGTTTTCTTTTTCTTCTTATGCTTGTGGCCTTGATTAGAAATTTCTTTGCATTGATTCTCAATGGCTGCTGGATTTTCTGTGACTTAAAGGAAGGAGAAAGGAGTGATTTTCTAACAATGGTTATGAGAATCTTTGTAAACACAAGAAGGGCAGCATTTTTGTTTATGAGTCTGAGGCTAAACAGATCTGACTTCCCCATGATTATGTGTCCTTCTCAGATCATATATAAATTGTTGGCTATTTTTAACAGCGTAAGTAGAGAGGTAGAACATTTGGGAAGCATCTGAAAGACTCTTTGACCATCAGTACCTTTCAGGGCTTCCGGGAATAACCCTTTTTATGCTCAACTGTAGTGGTCACTAAAAGTTAATTTTCCTATCAGTGCGCTGTACTTGTGTGTATTACATCAGAGAATAGTGGTTAAATATGTGGGCTTTGGGGGTGGATGGCTTAGGCTTAAATCCCAGTTTTACTGTTTGACTATGGATATGTTCCTTAATCTCTCTGTGCCTTAGTTTCACCACTTATAAAATAGGAATACAATTGTCAATTATCATCATAGGATATTTTTAAGGATTAAAGATGATAATCCTGGCATGATGTGCACAGTGCTAAGTATATAAGAAGTTATGTGTTATTATTATGGTTAGCTATATATGTTCTTAACATTTCCAACTAAATTGCAGAACTGGAAGTCAGACATTTACATCATTAATCAAATACAAAACAAATACAAAACAAAGAGTTTGGGGAAAGTTGCTTAAATTTATACACCATGTTCTTTTCATACCTTTAAGGCATTTATAATTGGTATTCAAATATCAATAATTACCAACATGTTATTGGGTCTTAGATGGAGTTTAATTTTGTTCTTTCATTAAATCTACAGTGTTTTACAAATAAAAAGTTATCAACAAACGATAAGTGAATACATGTAAATTATTTCCATAAGGCACAATTTTGATTTAAAATATAACAAACATAAATATGTAGTTAAATATGCTGAATGTAAAACAGTGTTTACAAAATTTACTTTTTAAAAAATATATATGCTTATATTGAATTTAGAGAGGGAGAAAGAGAGAGGGAGAGTGATATAGAAACATACATCAGCTGCCTCTTGCAGGCCCCCTACTGGGGATGAATCCCAAGTGCCTTGACCAGGAATCGAACCCGTGACCTCTTGGTGCATGGGACAGTGCTCAACCAACTGAGACACACCAAAATTTACCCCTTTAATATTATTAAAAAGAAGACCGTGGTACATTCAGGACAACTGTCTCCTCCAAATTCCTAATGAAGTGTCAAGTTTTCTGAATGTACTTAATGGTATTTGCACTAAGTGTACATTTCAAAACACTCGCATTATGAGTTAATGCATTTGCAAAAGAGTTCTGAGTGAGGTTACATATTGCTTATGTTGCAAATGAAAACTCCAAAGCAGAGAGGAGTTCAGACCTACTGAGTACCAATGGAACTCTTCTTAATGGGTTTCCTTGCTTCCTTCTCTCTCTTAATGGAATACCATCCCAGTCAGTACCATCCCAATCAAACAATATGAAAATGTTAGGGATCAGAATTATAGAATCACTTCATTTGGAGACTGGAATGAAAAATAAAAAGATAATCAAATCCAACTCTCTTATGTTATAGATGAGAAACTTGAGGCCAGTAGCATTGAACTCGATTAAGACTTGTTTTCAAAACAACAACATTCAGGCTCTTAAGTCATTCACTCTAGTTTTATCATTTATTTTCATGCTGTTCTACTGACCACAATTCAAAATACCATTGTGTTCCCAACGCTACTTGTTTGGATGCGGTCCTTTCTATATGGGCTCCTCTAAAGGACCATCTGGGTCTTGTCGGGAATTTTCCTTTGTGGTATCAAAGCCAGGGGCTGGTGGTTTTCCTTTGAGCATTTTTTTAAAAATATATTTTATTGATTTTTTACAGAGAGGAAGGGAGAGGGATAGAGAGTTAGAAACATCGATGAGAGAGAAACATTGATCAGCTGCCCCTTGCACACCCCCTACTTGGGATGTGCCCACAACCAAGGTACATGCCCTTGACCAGAATCAAACCTGGGACCCCTGAGTCCGCAGGCTGACGCTCTACCCACTGAGCCAAGCCGGTTAGGGCCTTTGAGCATTTTTAAAGAGAAATTATCATGTAACATCTAGGACCAGAAAGCAATCTTTATGGTATATATTTTACAGATACTTTCTTTTTGGATTTTGTTTTCATCTAAGAGAAAAGCCTTTGTAAATATTTCACATAAAATACTCCACTAATTAGTTAATGTCAAGAAGTGCTAGATAATATTCCTATTGGGGTCCTTTGAAATTTTCCAATTAAACTTAAATACAATTTTGAAATGTATTGGCTAAATTTTTGATGCATTCAAGGCATGAAAACAAGTTTTTCAATAAAGGTAGTATTTAAGAAAGTCCCAACCTATATACCTAAGGTACTTACTAGAGATGCTTGTGACTAATCATTGCAACCTGAAGACATAAGATTGGTAATAAAACCCCAAACCATACCTGAATCACTTTGGAGTTTTAAGTGTCCTTGACATCTCTCCTACATAGAGCTGTATTTAACATTCAACTTACTTCCCAAACAATATATTTTGAATTATTTGTAGTGCAGCCTCTGATCATTAATGAAATGTACTGGACTGGAGAATTTGGGGAGCTTGGGCTGTGGTAGGTGATAGGTATCAAGTTAAATTGTGCTGAAGCCACGTGAAGCATAAACCAATAATTTGACTAGTCCCTTTTAGAAATTCTCACGTTGATGTTACCAATGACGCCGGTGTGTTAAAATTTGATGAACTAATAAAATCAAGATTGAAATAAGGAAAAAGCAGACTGGAAGGGCAGAAAGAGACTTCCCCTCCCCCTCCCCACCTTCCCCTCCCCTCCCTCCCTCCTTTAAAAGCCTGGGCTCTCTTGGAGTAGCAGGTTCCTGCACGCGCTAGGAATCTGGTCTCGGTGCAGAAGCACCCGGCAAAGCCAGGGCGTTCCCAGCGGGGACTGCTGGCTGCCCGGAACCTGCCAGCACCTGGCTTGGTTCTTGGGGGCCCTGGAGGCCGACTTTTGCCTCGGCCCGGTGGGCCCTCGGGCTGCAGGCAGGAGGCTCGGAGCGGTCAGAAGGGTTTCCTGTGTGTCAGCAACTTCACTTCGCCGAGATAGCTGGCGGAAGAGCGCTGGGA